ATATATACATACATACATACATATATACATACATACATACATATATACATACATACATACATATATACATACATACATACATATATACATACATACATACATATATACATACATACATACATATATACATACATACATACATATATACATACATACATACATATATATACATATATATACATATATATACATATATATATATATATATATATATATATATATATATATATTCTTATTTTCCCCTACATTAATGTGGAATGCAAAATTGAAAAACATAGCAAATGGTAAAGATTTTCTATTTTCTTTGGTGCAACATTTTTAATGGCTGTACACTCTATTGTTCATTATATATAACCACCTTAAGAAAAATTTCCTCATTTCTAGAAGTTGAAGGCAACATTACATAAATAGGAACCAGTTGGAACCATGGGCAATAATGTATCATAGAATTATGATTTATATAACACATTTTAAAAGCAATGAACTAGTACCAATTTTAGAAGAGAGAAAAAATAGAAGAAAATAACACAATATATACTATATCAAAATACCTGGCCACAAACTAAAACCTTTTTTGGGTCCAATTATATTAGCATCCTCCTTAAGGTAATTAACCAGAGGAACCTTGAAATCTCTTCCTTTGTGTTGATACCATGCACCAGTTTCCTCATCCTGCAATGCATTAACAAGAGCACCAAAATTGAAAAGAAAGAATTAGTACAGAAAGTAACTAAGGTAGTTCTATAAAAAGGTTCTTTAGGTCAACCACGTATTCAACATTAAGAACTAACATCTCCAACTGCTAGCAGTAAAAATACAAACCTTGAGAACAAAATTAATCGCTGAAATATCAGTGTTGGGTTTAATATCGATCTTGACTTCATGTAAAGCATCTCCTTCCGCAGACGACAATGATTTCAGCATGGGTGTTTCTATTGCATAGTCCTGAAATTTTTGCATCACACTCAGTTTCTGCATGGCAATAATAAACAAGGACCATATGAGAGATCATAAGGGGACATGAAGCCACGGTCTACCTTAATAGGAACAGATCCAGGTGGTATCATATCCCGAGGAGGTTGATCCCATTCACTGCAGAATTAAGGTTACACCATAGTCATATATCTTCACCGAGTCATTAGCATTAAGACTTAGCTCTTACCATGATGCAAAATACAAAGCACAATCACCCCATGTCTCAAAATAAAAATGAAAGCTAATTCAAACACCTTATTTGACATGCCGTACCTTCCAACATCATCCACATGAGAAACTCCCCAATGAAGAATCCATTTCCCTGTTAGATTGCAACCCACTGTAAGCTCCCAATTTCCCAAATCCTTCCCATGATCCAATCTTACATAGATCTTTCCCTCCACCTGCAAATTCCGTTATAATCAATCAACACAAAAATCCCATACATGCCAAACACCACACCACGTCTATTAAATGACAAACGAAAAAGGAAAAGGCCTTTTAAGAACTGGTAATTCTCCTTTTTTTCCTTGCAAATACAAGTAGGAAACTATTTGATACTTTTACAGTATTACCATTCTGTTTGATTGCTCAGAAAACAAGGGGAAAAAATCTCTGACAATCCCAAAAAATTAACATATCAACAAAAATCGAGCTGATCCAAACTTTTCCTGGCGGAACAATAAATGGTACCAAACAAAACTCTAACACCCTTCAACTTCTCCACTAATTTCCTCAGAAAAAATTCACAATTTCTCTTCTGGGTATTCGACAAACTCTCTCTACAAATAAAACACCACTCCAAAAAAAGTGAGAGGACAAAAGAGAGACCAGCTCAGTTCGGTTGATGGGGAACGTCTGGTCGAACAAGACATCAAAAGACTGAAGGGACTCGAGGGTATCAGTGTTTGTAGCAAAAGCCTCAAACTTTGGAGTGTGGAACTTGTGGGGTTTCCAAGAGGCGAAGTTATGGGTACAGTTATTGCTGCTGGAGTTGAAGAGGGTGAGAGTGGAGGAGGAAGTACGAGAGAATAGCTTTGGCTTGGAACTGTGAATGGAGGGTTCTCTTTCTCTGTTGACACAATGATTGAAGCTGAAGAGAGGGTCAAAGGAAAGGGTGGTGGAGATGCTCATGGTAGGGTGGTTCCTTTTGCAAGGAAATGGGAATGAAGAAGAAGCGGTTGCAGAAGGTGATGAATTAAGCAACTTTGTCTGTGTTTGTAAGATTGCACCGAATTGGAGGTGTGGACAGAAATGTTTTTTCGAATTTAAGAATTATTATACAACACTATCTCACGTGTTCTGTGTTCTTTCAATAATTTCCCTCTGGGGATGGGTCAGATCAATTTCTTTTCTTCGTTTCTGAGTAAAGGAAACAAATACACCACCGAAACGAGTTTTAGCGGATATACATTGTTACATTACATACGCATATAACTAATTAAATATAAAAGTGAATTTATTATCTATACTTATACAAATACAAAAACATTATATTCTTTAAATAATCGTTATTCTAAATTAAAATAAGTATACTTTTAATTTTATTTTTCAAATGATTATTAATTTAAAATTTTTATTTATAAATTAAAATTACTATTTTATATTTTTAATAACTTTTTAAAAAATTTAAATAGTTGTTTATAATAATATTTTGTTTAATAATGAAAATTTATACAAATTGTTCTATAATTTAATAATTTTTTGGTAGAATAAAAATATTCATACACATATGTTTCCAATAGTATTAAAAAAAACTTATTTTATTTATTTTATTTTTCTTAGTTGTTTTTTTTTTAATTTAATATTTCATATTTAAAAAATAATATAATTCTTTATATTGTCAAAGCGAGTGAAAAATATTTTTTGTCCTGTTTATAACACACCTGGTTGCTGGTCTTCTTTTCTCCCAAGTTAAAAACTCAATTCCTATGGGTCCATTTTTTTTCAACAATTTCACATTTCTCTATTATCATTTAAGAGTTGCTTTATAATTAAATTTTTTTTTATATTTTTAGTTTTCAATTATCATTTAAGAGTTGCTTTAATTAAATTTTTTTATATTTTTAGTTTTCAATTTTTCATTATTACCTTCACTCATGGTTCATCCTCTATCTAAACAAGGTTTAGGTTTTTACATTATCTTTTAAACTTTCACTTTTTAACACCCATTCAAGTACTAGTTTCAAACTAAACCTATATTTTTTTTTTTCAAGTGTTAAAGATTCCACATTTAATAAGCACCACATTTTATCCTTTACCTTTAAGCTGAGTCTCATTGTCACATGTCTCACCACTTGCTACCTACCTATATATATATATATATATATATATATAT